TTCTCGAAGAAATGAAGTATACGAAATTAATATAGAAAGTTTTAAGACGTTCTTAAACTGAAATTTGTTGAATTTGAAAGCGAAATGTGCGTGTAAAAAGTTAGAAGAGACTTATAAAAATTATAAGGATGTTTATACATTTTGATGATAAAGAAGTAAGGTTTTATGGTTTTTTTTTTAGTCCAAAGGGATTTGAATCCCGAAGGACTATTAGTTTCGTTTTGGCATTTTGCGTCGGACTCATAAATGTCGGTTCACTTTTCAAACTGTTGCCACAAAATGTTAGAGTCCTGCATTATATTTGAAGAAATTAAACAATGAAGAATCTGCATAAATGTATGTATATTTCTCGCCTTGTAATAAAACAACGGTTACATAGAAGTCCAACGAAATTTTGAATAACGTTACTCCCTCCAACCGAATATGGGCATCTGGAAGACCCTGATGTGAAATTTGAAATTTGTTTTATTATCGATTTTCCTATTTTGTAAAACTTTTAACGAATTTTTGATTAACAAACTCAACGGATTTCAAAGCCAGGAAATGGCAACGTTGTGCAGAAAAAATAAAACACTTTTATCTCCAGCGCGTGAGACTCTGTATCGGAAAGTTCTAAAGATAGGCTCGGTTTTAAAACTATTTTTTGCGATATTGCTGTTTGAATTGGAATCTTATGGTTTAAGTGCGAGGAACATGATATTTTAATAAAGAAAGGTAACACACAAAATGTTAAAAAACGCCCCTTTGGACGTAATTTAAAATCTGAAACATTTCAGTTTTTTTTTTTTTAAGGGAGGGAAGGCAAATTTATTTCTGACATATAAGCATATCGTGCTTTAAGAGAAATGTCATCAACTTTTTCTGATACAGAAATTATTTAAATAACTTTTTTGAATATTCTAGTTTCCATTTCATCTGTAGAGAGATCTTTCTATCTTAAAAAGGTGAAAAACTGTTTAATAAACACGAAGAAGAAAGTATGCTTTAAACTGTATGCTTTTAATATATATGGAACAAGCAGGCTTAAAGAACATCTATACTTCGAAAATACTTTATAAATTTGCTAAAAAGAAGACAAGGAAAAAGTTTGTTACGTTTTTATGTACGTACGGGGTTCGTGGATTTGGAGTGAATAACGACGACACTTGATGAAGTATCGAAACATAATTTATTTGCCAGTATTACTCAGGACAGCTCCAAAAACACTTTTGCAGTCGTCGAAGAACTACTATAAACAGGCTGAAACAATCAGTGACACACACTTCAGGCTATCATGCTGTAACAGTGAAGACAGCTTTACAGCAAAGCACCAGAGTACAGCTCCCGACTCTGCCGTTACCTTCGTGAAAAGATTAATTCCCTTCTCGAAGGCCACGACTCTGCTCGGTCGTTCTCGGAACTCTACGTACTCTTGATACTCTATGCCATAACTCTCGATGCACTCGACGATACACTAGAGTACACCTCCCTACTCGGTTCGGTCCTTCTCGAAGCTCAACACACTCTATGATAAATCTCGACGATGCACTAACTCGCGATACATTAAGAGACTCTTTCGATGCACTCAACTCGGCGCTGGACTACGAGACACTCGCTCTTAACTTATAAGGTGTTTCTCTAACTTTCCTAGCGTCCTTTGTGGTGTAGTGGTTCTGTACGCTGGGCCGGTAAACCAGAGGTCCGTGGTTCTATTCCCTGTCAAGGCGGTTGCTAATTTTTCATCTCTCTAGCTTCCAAAAAATCCTAACGTCTCTACAAACTGACTCGAATAGGCACTCACTGACTTGCGATCGACTCCCTAGACGAGACACTGACTGACTCTCAACTCTCTCGACTCCGCACGGACTCGCTCTCCGCGTACCACCAGGGTTTATATAGCTTTTGGCCTGTGTTCGAGAACATTCTGGGCTAAACCAGTAAGAATTCGTTCCAGAAGGTTCTTCATCCATCTATGGCATATCTCCAATTTTGTCACAAAATGGGTGATTTCTCGCCAAATGAGGCAACCCTGCCTACCTTCGCCCTTTTCTGGCTATCCTAAACCTACTCTGAGGAGCTATCTTAGCGCGCTTGGACATTTCGTAACAGTGTTATCACTAAACTTTGTTACATTAAATACAGCATACGAGAAAGAATAGTTAATGTTTCGACAAGTAAACATTTATTTATTTGTTATACTCCAGCACGAATTGCGTTTCTAGCATATAGGTGTGTAAATACTGTCCTATGGTCAGCAAATTTTTTCTGCCAGGGTACCCCCAACTGACTTAACCCGCTCTTGATTACCATACTTTTTTATCTTTTGTTGCTCTCTGTACATTTTACATTTCATCAAATTTTATATTAAGATATCATATTTTCTTACTTTCTTAAAATATAAAGCACCTTATTTCGTTGCTTTTTAAAATACGGCACATATTGTTGTGTATTGAAAGTAAACAATAAAATTTTACGTCAATCATTCTGCTACGGGAAAGTTGATATGTATGCCGTGGGAATAAAATTGTCCAGTATTGTTTATAATCTTTGTTTAATTACTTGTGTGATTGTTCTTTATTTTAATCTCATGAAAGAGATTAATCTCTGTATAACAGCGAAACGAAAAGAAGTCGTTTGAATTCGCAGAAATAAAAAATATATGCATGTAAACTTAAATATTAAATTTAATTTAAATACAGTAAAATTAAAAAAAAACTTTGTTTATTTAAATCTTTTTTTGCAAACATTTTTTTTAATGCACTTCTAGAAGATACACCATACCGGAGCCAACGATCGAAAAACATGTAACTATACGATATGTGTAAGTTACATCTAAAAATGAGCAGGAATTTGTGCTATTAAGCTTGTGGCAGTTAGTCAGTAAAAATAAGCCGAGGGCTGTTAGAAAACGTACGGAAACGGCAAGCAAAAGGAAACAGTCTTAGCATTTAAAAGAAAGTGATAAACAAGCATAAATGGCATTGAAAACTTACCTTACCATCCAAGTTAGAGGCGGATTTATGGGATCTCACAAATCCCAATCGCAAGAAGCCGCTTATTCTAAGATGCCCAAAATCACTTTCTAGATTCTAAGAAAGGCAGTGTAGAAAAGTGAAAATTAATAAGCATCTACTGTGTCTCAATGTAAAGGATCACGTGAGGTAGGCTTGCCTCTTCTTAAATACAACTGGTCCAAGCAGTTTTTAGCATTAGGAAATAGACTTATCCTGTCCGAGGAAAACAAATGAGCTAGCCTATAAAAGGCGCTCTTTAAAGACAATAACATTTATGACATTTTTCTGTCTTCTCTCAGAAAAAGAGATTCGGATCTCAAGCGGATCTTCTCTTTTGGATATCAGTCTTTAAAGCGATGCCTCTTATGAAGGTGCCGACACTTTTATACAATTCTCCACTGTTTTTGATGACCATCTTCACACAGTTGTCCCAGTATTAAAATAAAAAGTTTGGTCATTCTTGGGTACCAGAAATTGTAACCAAAATTTAGATAGACTGACGGCGAATTATTGCTAAGTCTAAAATAACAACTGAAACTTAAGAAGAGCGCAAAAGGTCAGTTTATTTAAAACCAAGAAAAAAAGGCACACGTGGTACTTACAGGCTCAGCCAGCACTTATGATGAGATAACTTAAATGAACACTCAAATGTAAAATTTAAGTTCACTCACAAACCTAACCAGCGTAGATATTCAAATATCGGAAGTCATAATGCAAGGCCGAAGACTATCAATCTTACCTGAGCTAGGTAGCCTATTAAGTGGTCTTTAAAGGCAGAACAACTTGAACAACCTCTGTCTTACAACCTGAAAACCTTAGTTTAAATGCACTCCAGCTAATTTGCATTCTGGCATGGGAAAGAAAAGAAGAAGAGACTGCCAAGGTCTAAATCATAACTGGTTAATTAACATAATGGACAGTTACAAAAGTACTGTTATGTTGGTTGGATTTTTGTTTGCTTTATTATTCGAAGTGAAAAAATTAAGACCTTACTTGAGCCTTACTTTAAGACCCAACTTGCATCAGTATAAAGATGACCACACTGTTCTTAAAGTCGCTTTTTTCGTGTTAAACACTGAACAATGCTCGCAGCTTTTGTGCCTGGACACACCCTTGGAAAAGCTGTTGTCTTCACCAGCAGTAGCCGGTTTGTCTAAAGATACTGGCATTTTATCCATGATAGAGCACCATTTTTATGCAGCGCTCCAAGATCTCTACCTATTTCCACTAACAGAACGAGCCTGAGATTCTGAAATCAACAAGAAGTAAAACATGTTAGGCCGACAAATACTGTCCTCCAACTTGCTCATCTTCCATAGATAAGTTCTAGTCTGCTCTCCAAATAATAATATTATATATTAGATACCAATAGGTGGAATAGTAATATGCAATACTTGATAAACAGTTGACGTATGTTGTGGATTTCGGCAGTGAAAGCCTTAGTTAGAACAGGCTGTGTCCTAAATATTCAGTGGGTGTTCCGATGGAATAAAGAAAATCGGCGGAATTATCGATAAGACAGTTAGAGAATACGATTTACTTCCAACCGGATGACGCAACGGCTAGCACACTCCTCAGGACAAGTTAAGACGAATCATGGAAGCCCTCCCGCGTCGGCTCGAGCAGTGCATCGAGGCAGGCAGACTTTAGTTTCACCGTTCACTGATATCTGTATTGTTAGTGTGATACGCTTCAGTAAATACCTACATACGAGTATATACTATATAATGTTTGTTGAGGAGTGGTTGGGTTACTGGCAGCTCTCGTTTGTGGAAAGACGGGGCCACTTCTTTTGAACTATGGGGACACTCGTGTCCACGTGAGCTGAAGGGAGCCATATATATATATATATATACCATTATTTTAAAATCTCATGAAGCTACTACCAGCAGTTACCATTTTTCCTTTGTTATTTAATGTTGATGGGTGCAATATACGATACCCTATGTAAAATTTATAACTATCGAATCGTGGGATGAGTGTAAATGAAGGACAGTAAACCAAGAATTTGCCGTAATAATCTTTTTTATTTCTATAACAGCACTGGGTTTTTCTTTATAATCCTTCTGTTTGATAGGACCATTCCTTCGTATTATCTTTCTACTTTCCATAATAATTTTTTTGATAAATACTTACAAAGCTATAAATTATATTATTTCGATTCACAAAGTTTTGATTCATTCAAGCCATTTGTAAATACTTCAAAATCATTCGGTAAAATTTGCATATTAATAACATATTGCTTTGAACGTATAGCAGGACTTTGGCCTAAGAGGAAAACTCTTTGTCAAACACATATTCTCCCAGACCTGTTCCGACACGTTTCAAGTTGGTCACATGATCTCCAAACTTCTTAATTGCTTGCACTTGCTCCGTCAGGAACTCATTCTCGATGAAGTCACACATCTGGAATGAGATAATTTTGATTAATATCATGCTTATTTATTAATAAAAATTATTTATAATTATCTATAGAAATCAAAGTGATGCTTCTGTAGAATATTAATTCAATTATTTTTCATGTGAATTGGCTACATGTATATTGGCGACAACACGCAGTATACACATAAAAAATTTTAATAAATGTTAGTTCTATGAAATTTTTATTTTGAAGGCATAAACATTTTAACATCGTTTAAGATTTTGTAAAAAGACAATAAATAAAGACAATAAATTTGTAAAAAGACATTAATTTAAGAATTTACTATGCTTTCATGGTACACATCCTGATTCGCCGTTTCATATCACGTCACCCCAAGTGATCTCATCTCACGTAAACTATGCTACAAAAATATAATTCTCTCAATAATTATCTGAGAGTATTAGATTTTTGTTGAATATCTACATTAATTTCAAGTTAAATGTTAATTTGGAATAGAAGTTTAGGTGCAAGAATTATTTTAATTCGTACGAATAGCTTATTCAGAAATTATGTAAAACCGCAGTGCATTACTTCGCTAGTGCATTTCCATTAGAAATGATGAATTTAACCTTTGCCTTTCCTGTGTTTTCACCTTCGGGTGAGCGGTGTGATTGTATCCTAATTGACTTAATTACCGCGAATGGCTTTAGGGCATAGAATTGAACTATCAGGTTAAAAATTCTCTGTAATTGTATGTCAGTATTGAAAGAAACAATCAATCTGATAAGAAATGGAGGCGACTTGTTTTGAAAATGAGGCGTAAAAGGTTACCAGCGAGGACATTCCGTTTGGCATAGGTTGTACCATTTTTGGCGACTTTATCGCTTGTGCCGGCAAAATGGAAAAGTAACCAAGTATTAGTTATCCAGCAATATAATATGTTTTGTCTTCAGTTCCATCTAATGAACTTTTTAAAGGCTAAGACGATAAAATGTTGTTTGTTTCAACTTAAAATTTTGTACGAATTTATTCTAGACCATTTTAGACTCACTGTATATGTTAATTAAATGTCATCTTTGTACTACTTACGTAGAAAAGCCTACACCAGTTTGTTACAACGCCGCCATCTTCAATCCATTGCAGCTATCGCCCAGTCATGAAGATATTATATATATAACTAGCAGCTTCGCTGCCAGCCTTCGTCTGGCTTTTAAATGTACCGGAAAAATGGTTGAAGGGAACACCAAAGGTTAAATTTAAAAACTGCGTAGAATTTTACTCTGCAGAATAATTTCATAAAAAAAACGTTATTACGTATACCAAAATTACAATGAAATAAGCAATATCCCTTAATACAAATATTAATTATCCGAATAAATAAATTAACCAACTTCCCTTCGTAAAATCTTAAGAACTCAAATGGTATAAAGGAGGTAAAGAACTTTGTTTCCTAAAAAATCACTCAAAACTTTTCAATATCTTAAAAACAGTGAAATGAGCAATAAATAGCATAAAAGAATACAAAAAAACAAAAAATTTTGAAAAGCAAAGTATAATAATTGATATTTTATCTTATATTTTCAAGAGCAAAAATTATAATGAAATAAGCTATATCCCTTAATACAAATATTAATTATCCTAATAAAAAATTAACTAACTTTCCGTTGAAGGAAAAAAAATCATACAAAACTTTTCAATATCTTACAGTGAAATTAGCAAAAAATAACATGAAAGCAACTGAAAAAACATAAAATTCCGTGCAGAATTTTACTCCGCAGAACAACTTTATCAAATAAAAAAAAAAAAAAAAAAAAAAAAAAAAAAAAAAAAAAAAATTAGTAAAAATGTATTACATATATAATATATAAATAACAATGAAATATGCCAAAAAACAGTGACATAAGAAATACGATGAAAAACTGTTGCCAAACCCATATTTCTAAAAGAATGAAACTATTCAAAATGATGCGATGTGATTTCATCAAAATCTATCAACAACAATAAGACAAGGAAAGTTGTTGCCAAAATCACATTTTTAGAGATGTGAGATGTGAGAAGTGTACTCAGAAGCTTCATTTAAAAAAATGTTCTTAAAATACAAAATATTATCATTTTTCCAAAATTCTTTTTGTAGAAAGCAAGTCCGCAAGGATGAAAGTTTAACGTGTCCCAAAAATCAAACAAAAAAATGAGCTGTACATTTTTAAAAATAAACTTTTTTAGAGAAAATCCCGCTGAAACGGTGTTAAGCTCCCTTTGTTAAATAAATTCGTATTAAATCGATTTATTGAAACACGAAATTTATTTCAAGTTCGTAAAATAGCTAAGTGCCTACGTTTCATGACGATGTGAAAATAGAGTTTTAGAGTAAAATTTCGCTTTACTATAGCCCATTATGTCTCAAAATGACGTGGTTTCATCACAAAACATAAAATAAAAACAAAAAATAAAAAATAAAAAAAAATCGAATTCGAATTTCGAAAAAACCGCTTCGAGGTGCACTGGCTCTTGTCTAGATGCACCTATGTATCAAATTTCGTAGTCATGAGTCTATTAGCTTACGCGCAGAGCGAACGAAAGACACGCACACACACACACACAGACAGACTCTTTCTTTTATTACATGTAGAAATGTAGTTATCTTTTACCTGAGCATCTTCATGCTTGGCAGCTATCTTATGCAGATTCAGCAGAGAATCATTAACTGTTTTCTCTAGTTGCAAAGCATCTTGCATAGCTTCCAAAGGAGTCCATTGCTTGGCAGGGGGAGCCTGAAAAGTTAAAGTATACTTCTAAACTACTGTATAAAATATATAAAAGCAGCTACGAATTGTCAAAAAACTGATTTGCTGAAATGAAATAAACATCGAAAACATGAAAGCGGGTTAAAATAAGTAAAAAGATTAATAATATGTGATTAAAAAGGGAATAAAATGTTATGCCCACCTACGTCTACAAAAGCTTGAGAGTAATTTTGTAAACAAATTGAAACAAACTGGCCAAACGATTGTTCACAGCATTTGTTGCTATGATATGTCAATCTGTTTTTCCTAAAACATGGTCCGCTCACAGACAGATTGTTTATCTTTTATTTTAATCTTGTTACCTTTTGCTGTCATGAATTCCAAAACAAAGTAAAGGTTGGTAGTACAATTTTGTTGTAAAACCGTGGAAAATAGCAACAAGGATATTGGAAAAGTTGTATAAAGCATTTGGAGGAAATATTAACATGCTTGAATGCTTATCGTAACGGTTGTGAAAATTTTGATGATGAACCAAAGAGTGGTTGACCTTCGCATTCTCGAGGAGTTGAAAACAATGGAAAATTTCAACAACTGCTGTTGAAAAATTATCATCTGTCTTTTTGAATCATAGTTGACGAATAAAGACACTGCTCACAAAATTGTTGTGGAAGATTGTGAAAGAAGAAAAATTATGTTTTATTTAGTTTCTTATGCATTGACTGCAATTCAGAAAGATGATCCAATTTATACATGTCATGATTGGATCCAAATGGCAGACATTAATACTGACTTTTTTTTTCAGACAATTGTGACTGGAGACGAAATATGGTGTTTTTTTTTATTTTGAGGCAAAACAGCAATCGCATGACTGGGTTAGATAACATTAACCCTGGCCACAATCTTCTGTCTCAGAACATTGGTGGGAAGGCTATGCTTTTATAACTGGAATAGAATAATTCAGAAAAAATATGTTCCTAAATGACAGACAGTGGACTCCTTATTTTCCAAAGACGTCATAGATAGACTTTTGAAGATAATTCAAAGATTGTTAGGCTTAAAAATGCTCAAATTGCTTCTGCGGTATGCTAATGCACCTTTACACAATTCCTTTTTCCTTAACCAGTTTCTAGCAAAGAAAAATGTCCCGATTTTCAACCACCCCCTTATTCACTAGATTTAGCCGTTGCAGACTACTTTCTCATCTCTAAAATTGAAGTCGTTAATCAAAAGCCGTTACTTTAACGACATGAAAGAAATTCAGAAAACAGCAACCAGAGATTTAAACATGATTTCAAACGATGAATTCTAAGAAGGAATGAAGCAGCTGTATTGATTATGCAAAGAGCTCTGCAGACTTTCTAAGATTGTATATTAAAAAATAAAAATAAAAATATTATTTTCTTAAACTTAAAATTTTCTACAAATTTAGTCTAAAAAATTTCTAGACTTACTATATACAAGTATGTTAATTAAATACAAACGCCTATTTACTGTATTTGTAACGATATGCCTTTTAAACACAAAACGTCAACTGGTCTTTATTTAATTCTCAAGTGCAAATTAAGATTTCACGAGTGAAAGTTTCCACCTATTTTCAGTGCAACATAATCCCGTTTAAAGGAATCAGTTCTGGTAGCAATTTTTATGGAAACCAACAGTCAGGCTCGTTTTCATAAGAAATAAGAGTGGTTCATTTCTAACTTAGCTACTTTTTTTTTTTTTTTCCTTCTTGCACGTTCTTTATGAAAATAGTTTTATTTTTAAAACTTTTCCATTAAAAAGAAAAAAAAACTACAGAAAATAACAGGCCATTTTCTTTTTTATTTTTGCTCAAGTCAAATCAGGCACGCAAATCGTTAACAAAAAATAAATTTTTATTTTATTGCAGCTATAGTTTTTAAAATACCAAATCTAGGTAATTTATCCTCTACGTGTTAAGATGGACAAATACATCATGAAAATTAATTGTATTATTTTCAATGCATGAATATTGTTGCGTTTTTCTTTTTTTTTTCTGATACCAGTTGTTACGTTATTTTATTCCTTCACATTCGTACGGGGTTCGTAGATTTGGAGTGAATAACGACGACACTTGATGAAGTATCGAAACACAATATTAATCAGGACAGTATAATCAGGACACAATATTTAGCCAATATTAATCAGGACAGCTCCAATAACACTTTTTATAGTTGTCGAAAATCTACTATAAACACTCGCTGGAACAATCAACGACACAGCCTTCATACTGTCAGGCAATAACGGTGGAGATAGCTTCACTTCAAAGCACCAGAGTACAGCTTCCGACTCTGTTTGGTCGTTCTCGGAACTCCACGTACTCTCGAGACTCTCCACGTGATGCACTCGACGATACACAAGAGTATAGCTCTCGACTCAGCACAGTCTAAGACAAAAATCGACGATGCACTAATTCGCGATGCACTAAAAAGACTCTCTCGATGCACTCGACGACCAACTCGACGCTAGACACTCGCTCAATGTCTATCAGCTCGCTAGACAAGGCACACACACTAACTGACTGCGGACCAGCAGGGTTTATATAGTTTTCGGCATGTGTTCGGGAACGTAAGGGCTAAACCGGTAAGAATTCGTTCCAGAAGGTTCTTTAACCGTCCATGGTGCATCGCCAATTTTGTCACCAAATGTCGCCAAATGGTCGATTTCTCGCCAATTGTGGCAACCCTGTCCTCTTTCGCCATTTTATGGCAACCCTAAAACTGCTTTGCGAGGAAGCCATCGTACCGCGCCTGTACATTTCTTAACAATATTTACTGAAAAATATTGAAACAGTTTAAACATTTACAAAAAAAGGCAACAAATAAAAGATAATAATTTAGAAAGCTTATATATAAAATGAAAGCAAGTTTATAATTTCTGATTTTATGCTGGCGGTACTGTCAATATTGATGAAAATTAATTAAAGATTTTTCAGTAGATTATTAAAAATTCATTTTCACTATAATTTTTATTTATAACTTATTAAAATATATAAAGATTCAGCTTTCTTTTAGCCTGTTCACTATCTGAGAACTCTTTTAGTTACGTATAATTTTAAGGTAATAAATAAAACAATAAATTGAATTATCAATAAAGGTGAATATTGGGAAATCATCTCTTAGACAGAGATTTCGTGGTACATTATTATCTTTAAAATTATTTCTTTATTTTCCAAAATATATGTTTAGTCTTATATGACGAAACAATAAAAATGGAACAGAAATTGTTGATTAAAAAATGGAGGCTATTAAATTTCTAACTTGCTGATTCAATAATATTTACCATCATATTTCCTACTAAATATAGTTTTGATTAATTTAAGCTTGTTTAAGAGAGCTTGTACTGTTACGAATCTTTTATTTTATTTGCCATGTTTTGAGAACGTTTTGTACAATACCTTCATCTTCATAAATTTCGGTTCAAAAATAAATTCATTTTCTTAAAAAGTATTTAAGAACAGATAAAATATGTACAAACAGCACTTGCGAAGTATATCAAGACTCTAATTGTCCACCTTTACACTATGGCAATTACTTCCGATTAAAATAGTAGTTCATAAAAGTCTTTGCATTTTATGAATTTTTCTTATTCTAACTTCGTCAGTTTTCTTTACTAAAATACCATTTAATTTATTTGATATTCTTTTTCTACCACTGCTTTGAAACAGTTCCTGCATTAAAATTTACAATATTATACCCAGCGATGGTACGCAACTTCAAAATGAGATATAGAATCCTAATCCATACATAAGTCAAATAAATTATTTTCATGGAAACCAAGAGTTTAGTTTTTCGGCTGCTATTTTATTTTGTTCTGAATTGCGTAGAATATATATCTTACTTAAAAAAAAAATTAAAATCCAAATTAATTTCGAAAATGCATAATAAATTTACGTAAACATTATACAGAAGTTAAAAAAAGAACTTCATTCGAATTTAAATCAATAAGAATATGACTAAAAATTCTATAAAAGAAAATTTTCAAGGTTAAAATATAATGAGAGACAATTCTTTAAGCAAAATGAAAGAAGAGGTTTAAAAATTAAGATCTAAACGAAGGCATAATTATACGACATTCTGTCAATTTTTAAATAAAAATTCGAGAAGAAGTTATCTCATTATTTATTTGGATAGATTACAGAGAAAAATACGTGAGAGAATAAATTTATGTTTAATATTAAAACTATTACTACAAACCACCCTAAATTTCAGATATATAATTAGCGAAAGAAACAAAAAAAATTTTAAGCATTCAAAGATCTCACAGTCTAGTCTTACAAATACTTCTACAAATTAAGCTGCTTTTTTAGTGTTTGCAATAAAATTAAAGTATGAAAATTCCATAAAGTAATTTTATAAAAATGTTAACAATAAGAAAGAAGACGAATGCCTAACCACGGAACGAGTGGCTTTTGTATGCCAAAAGACATAAAGTCATTAAAAAATGTGTTAAAATTTCAAGAATAATATTATTAAAAATTCATATTTCGAAAATTTGAATCAAAATTGATATAAATTATCTTTTCATATTCTCAAACTTGAGCAAATTATTTGTAAAACTTCTTACAAACATCCTTTATTGTAAACAAAGAATGCGAATGGACGCAAAATTAAATTAATAAGGGAGAACAAAAAATTTTTATCGAAAATTCACTTTATTTGATTATTGCAAGTAACTGAAATAGTTATTGTAACACTGTATGATAACTGAAACAGTGAATGATTCGGTAACTGAAATTTATATCAATATAACTGACCTTGATGTCGCTGAGAGAAATGGTACCTCCCCTTTCATTCTGGAATTTCATGAATTTCTGGGCATGTTCTCTCTCTTCGTCACTGCAATCCTTGAAGAATTTCGAAATGTGCTCTAGTGCAACATCATAGCGATCGAAATAATAGGCCTAGTAGGGAAAAAAAAAAGTAGCAAAATTTAGGATAATTAGGATAATAAATAGCTTAGTCTTCTTCCTTTAAGTAAAAATATCCAAAAAAAAAAAAAAAATTGTAAAATCTGGAAGACAAATCTCTAACATATAGTTATAAATTTAGTGAGGAACATTTTAATAAAATTTATTCCCTTGTGCGCTACCCAACCTGGTTAGTGACGCTGGCTGCTGTACCGAAGGACCTGGCTTTAAATCCCAGAGAAGGCGTGGATGCTTGATGTATAGTGTCTGTGCAGTATGGAGCGATCTAAATATATACGGGGCACTCTCGAGAACCTGGAATGGTAGTAGGAAAAGAGGTGTAGGAGATCCTTCGAACCGTTCTAATTCTTCCAAATTGGGGGCAGAACTGATCAAAGTCTTACTGTTGCGTGTATGGTGCCCAAGGCTCTTGGCAACGACACGGGCAACCTTGCCAAGAAGAATATCGTGGGCTTGCTCTGATTTAAGACAAGCGAGACTAGTCACAACAGCAGCAAAAACATTCTCTTGTAAGAAAAAAGCTAATTAAAAAAATGCAAGAGCAAATCGTGAGCATCAAAGTAGATTATTAGTTTGTGGAGATTTTAAGGAAGTTTTGAAAGTTGTCTTTAATAATTAATAATTTATTAGTGAAATCTATTTGCCTGTTTATAAAACTTTGAAATACCCTAATATATGTTATAAATATCATAATTTGCGAATATTCGTCGAATAGTAAGTAGAATTTATTATTAAGTAGACCTACGTTTTTTCCCTCCCATAGCTTTGTAAATTTGAAAAAGTAATTATTCTAGGCTTGATTCAAGCCTAGTTTCAAGAGATCTTATTTTGGTGAAATTGATATTAAGAATAAGCCGGATTCAGGGAAATCGAAGAGGTACTAGAATGACGGATTAAGCTTCTTAATAAAACACAATTGGTAAAAATATTCAAAACTTTCATGAAATTTTGCAAATTAAAAACTCCTGATGAAAAAATTTTCTAGGTGCTTATTTTCTAAGCTTTAGCCGTATGGAATAGAATAAAAAAGGTCCAAATTCAAGATTACTATTTGAATTTTAGAATAATTTATGTTATTTACTTTACCTGTAGAAGCAGAGAAAAAGATTTATATTAAATGAAGTCCATAGCATTCCTTCAAGTAGTCAAGCACTATGTGGGCGCGCATTTAAAAAATTTCCAATTAAACTCGATAAAAAGTTCTGGGTCTATCCATAGGTCAATCTGCATCTAAATTGTTTGCCCATAGATTATTCACAAATACGAGCAAGGATAATGAAAAATTTTAATGGTTTATATTATAAACAAATTGTAGAAAGTGAAATTCATGGAGTGCCGTGCTTACTCAAACAAACGCAGTCAGTATAAAATGGGTAAATATCATATGAAACGCTTACGTGCGAGGATATGTATACCAAACCGACATAACATGGGTAACAAAACATGAATATAATTTTCATGAAATTGATATTTTGTACTTACTCGGAAAAAAAATTCGTCACATTTTACATATCAATATCATACCAATAATATGTACTTTTTAAGTTTGTTTTTATAAAGAGCAAAGGCAACGCGTTCCTTACTCGCCTAGGAATTCTTCAGACATGAATCCTTGGGAAATTTGTTTGAGGGGTGAGGTCGGGATCATTGTTTCAGTTCCGCTAATAGCATTCAGTCAAGTTGAACTCGAAATTCTCAGTATCCATCTCGTCTCATATATCACATCCGATATACTTTAACCCTTTCCGGCACGCTACCTTTTAAAGTTGGAATTTTGATAAAAAAAAAAAAAAAGTAGGCAGTCTAATTAGGGCTACAGGAGTACACAAGCAAAATTTTGTGAAGATAGCACTTATCTTTTAATTCTGTGGGTGTGCCCAAAGTGGGCACACTGATTGAATAGAGCTTCGAAAAGAGTGCTGAAACGAGCATTTTTGTCAATGAACTGACCGATGAGATGCGGAGAAACAAAGAATACAGACTCTCAGTTGTCCTTAATTATCGGTGAGCCCCTTCTGGGCACACCTAGTGTTCGCCGTTTGATTTTAGGCAAGATTTCAAGGTAAAAATTTAAAATTAATATAGAATAAGGAGATTAGCATACAGTCAAAAAATAACATAGAGATTTCTTTTCAAAAAATGCCTTTTAAAACCCTAAAAAAATCTGGAAGATTTCTTTGGAAAATGAGGGTCTTAAAATCTAAACGTGGCTAAAATATATGGACTGGTTTGTGTTGAGCTGCCATCTACTATAAATAAAGAAGGTTCAGAGTAACTTATAAAAACCTATAAATCATTTTTCATTCAATTTTTCTGCACATGCAGAAGGAAATTTTTAGGTGTGTCCAGTGTGCCGCAAAGGGTTAACGCATGTGGTTGAAATGGGCTACAGAGTGTGCGTTGCATAACAAAAGGATCCTGCACACAGCATCTGTAATGTGTGTCAAGAAACTTGGATAGTCAATGTTTTATTCGACGTACCACAAGTAAGTATGTATACTGGACGGGAAAAAAAAAAAAAAAAAAAAAAAAAAAAAATGAGACAGTTCTATATCTCCCGTTCTACTGGGCCGATTGACGAAATTCAACTTGCGTTTTCCATGTCTCGGAAAGCGCGACTTCGGATATGTATTAGATTTATATATAGCATTGTTCTAATACATTTATTTAGCCTCAAAATCGGACTTTTTCTGAAATAACATTCGCAAATGGTTGATTCTTTTCGACTTACTTTGCAAGGTATTTTCTTCCTACGCCCCGCGTGTCTTTCTGGTGTAATTGGTATGATATCCGGCTAGTAGCCAAAAGATCCGAAGTTCAAATCCTGGAAAGACGCAATACATATTTCAAATTTTTAGTCTATGAAAGAAACCTAGTGACTAAAGTGGCAACCGAAAAAATATATGGTTGGCAAAAATTCATCACCACCAGGAATTGGCCATCGGGTCCCCTTCTGGTTAGTCGCCCTCAAAGGAGAAAATTAAGGTGAATTAAGGTAAAGTATTTAAGGAAAGAAGAACAGCCTTTGTGGTGTAACTGGAAGCACATCCAGCTAACAGACCGTAAGTCAAATACTGGCCGCGGCCACTGAATATTTTTCAAATTTCCTGTCTCTGAAATAAATCTAATCTACACCCCTATATAAAACTATTATACTGCTCGTAATAGTTAATTTTAATGCAAAATTATATACTCACCATTGCCATGTACACGTAAGAAGCGTAGAGCTCCATGTTGATCTGCTTGTTGACGCCATCTTCGGAATCTTGATGGTAGTTTTGACGAATAACATTCTTGCTACTCATGATTATTGTTTTTTAGAAGGAGGAAAATCAGTTAAGGCAAGTTTGATATCAGAGAGAGAATTATGGAATCAGAGGGGCAATTAATTTTACAAAGAAAGAGAAATACGGTGCAGAACTTTCTTGTCACTGGTGTTCGATCAAACACTGTTGACGCGACCACCAAAAGAATTTCCTGGCGATTGCTGGGAAGCTGCATTTTATAGAAATTCGTTATCATATCGTCGTACGAAGACAATGAATTGCGAATTTAGCGAAATGACACATGCTATTTCTTAACAATAAGTTTCTTATCATTTTGTTTCTTGATCAACAGAAACAGAGAAACGATGATAAAATTTTAAACTATTCTAATTTTTTTTTATCTTCTGAAATTATGATGCGCATGATTGTAACATTTGAGTAGTTTTTAATTTATTTCTAAAATAATATTTCATTAGCTTAAACGCATAAAAATGTTACTATGAAATTAGATGGACTCTTTTATCAATCAATGATTCTCTTTTTTTCTTTTTAAAGAACAAAATGTTTTTAAATTAACAAATGATGGATAATGTGTTTATATGTCAATCACAGAGCATCAGGTGTTAAAGAACAAGCAAAATATTTACGGTGAAATTTTAATGAATTTAATTTAAGTGTTTTCACTTTCATTTAAGTAAAATTTTGGCTTTAGAATTTTTGGTACTTTTCCGTTTCGCCGGCGCAAATCTCGCCAAGCAGACTTTATTGGCGACAACATACAGTATACACATGAAAAATATTAAAAAAATTTTAGTTCTAAGATTTCTTTTTTTTTTTTTTTGAAGGCATAAACATTTTAATATCGCTTAAAACTTTATAAAAAGCCAATAAATAAAGACAATAAATTTGTAAAAAGACATTAAGAATTTACTATGCTTTCATGGTTCAACATCCTCTTTCGCCGGTTCATATCACGTGACCCCAAGCGATCTCATCTCACGTAAACTACTCTACAAAAATCTAATACTTTCAGTAATTATCTACATTAATTTCAAGTTAAATCTTAATTTGGAACACAAGTTTAAATGCAAGAAATATTTCAATGCTTACGAATAGCTTACTCAGAAAATTATGTAAAACTGCAGTGCTTTACTTCCCTAATGCATTCTCATTAGAATTGATGAATATAACCCTTGACTTTTCTTTCTTATATTTTCGGCTTCGGGTAAGCGCTGTGCTTGCATCCTAATTGACTTAATTACCGAAAATGGCCTTAGACATAAAACTGAACTATCTGATAAAAATTCTATGTAATTATATGCTAGTATTGAAAGAAACAATCAATCTGATCAAGAAAAGGCTGCGACTTGTTTTGAAAATGAGGCGTAAAAGGTTATCAGGGAGAATATTCCGTTTTGGCATCGGTTGTACCATTATTGGCGACTTTATCGCTTGCGCCGGCAAAACGGAAAAGTACCGAATTTTTTTAAACTTTAAATACTGCATCTCTAACTTTTATCGATAGCACATGGCTTCTGGTCACCCGAGGTTTATATATCATATAACTAGCAGCTTCGCTGCCAGCCTTTGTCTGGCTTTAAATGTACCGGAAAAATGGCTGAAGGGAACACCAAACATTAAATTTAAAAACTGCGTAGAATTTTACTCTGCAGAACAACTTCATAAAAAAAGTTATTACTTATAACAAATTACAATGAAATAAGCAATATCCCTTAATACAAATATTAATTAGCCTAATAAATAAATTAACAAACTTCCCTTCGCAAAATCTTAAGAACTCAAATGGTATAAAGGAGGTTGAGAATTTTGTTTCCTAAAAAAAATCACTCAAAACTTTTCAATATCTTAAAAACAGTGAAATGAGCAATAAATAACATAAAAGAATACAAAAAATTCTGAAAAGCAAAGTATAATTAATGATATTTTATCTTATATTTTCAACAGAAAAAATTATAATGAAATAAGCTATATCCCTTAATACAAATATTAATTATCCTAATAACAAAATTAACCAACTTTCCGTTGAAGAAAAAAAAAATCATGCGAAACTTTTCAATATGTTACAAACAGTGAAATAAGCAAAAAATAACATGAAAGCAACTCAAGAAAACATAAAATTCCGCGCAGAATTTTACACTGCAAAACAACTTTATAAAAAAATTCACTAAAAATGTATTATATATATATATATATAAATGACAATGAAGCCAATCTCTTAAAAACAGTGACATAAGAAATACGATGAAAAATTGTTGCCAAATCCATATTTCTAAAAGAATGAAACTATTCAAAATGATGAGATTTCATCAAAAATCTATAAACAACAATAAAACAGGAAAATTGTTCCCAAAATCCTATTTTTAAAGATGTGAGATGGGAGAAGTGTACTCGGAAGCTTCATTTAAAAAAATTTTTAAAAATACAAAATATTATCATTTTTCGAAAATACTTTTTGTAAAAGCAGTCGCAAGGATGAAAGTTTAACGTGTCAAAAAATCAAACAAAAATAAACTGTACATTTTTAAAAATAAACTTTTTCAGAAAAAATCCCGTTGAAAAAGTGTTAAGCTCCCTTTGTTAAATAAATTCGTATTTAATCGATTTATTGAAACACAAAATTTATTTTCAGTTCGTAAAGTTCCTACGTTTCATGACGATGTGAAAATGGAGTGTGTAGAGTAAAATGTCAGTTTCCTATAGCCCATTATGTCTCAGAATGACGCGATTTCGTCACAAAACATAAAATAAAAAAATTTCTAATTGGAATTTCGAAAAAGTCGCTTCGAGGTGTACTGGCTCTTGTCTAGATGCACCTATGTACCAAATTTCGTAGCCGTGGGTCTATTAGCTTAAGCGCAGCGCGAACGAAAGACACACACACATACAGACTCTTTCTTTTATTATATGTAGAGATAATCTTATAAAACATCCTATATATATATGCCTTCATTATTTTTAGACAAAATACTGAACACATGTTATCTTAAATGAAATTGGCACTGATTACTTCGATTAACTGATTAAATTTGAAAAGTAGCATGCGCTAAAAAATGATTTTGTTGCTGTTGTTATGACTTATGTCGTTGTTATGTTGTGACTTATGTCGGGTGTTTCATACTAGAGCAAGCCCACGAAATTCATCGCGGCAAGAAGGCAAGATTACGCCTGTCATGAGTAAGAAATCGGGGCTCTATAAAACATGGTATTACGACTTTGCTCAGTTCTACCCCCAATTTTGAAGGAGAGCACCCCTGGGGGACGGATCCAAGGATCTCCCACACTTCTTTGCTTACAATCAACTTCTCGAGAGGGACTTTCGGCTCGCCACAAATTTAGAGTGCCTCCATGCAGCACAGACACTATACACTTGCCTTCTTCATGATTCGAACCCCGAACCTTTGGTACGGCAGTAAGAGTCACTAAGCAATATCCCGGTTGGGGGCAAAAGTTTAGCAGGGAATACTAAATCCAAAACATATCAGTTACGCACAAATATTTTATTTTGCCAATTATTATTATTTGCCAACATTAATAGATGACTAATTTTTCTGAATACTTTGATAAGGAAAATGAGTTCTGCATTCACCGATGAAGCAGTACGAAAATTTAAATCGTAGTTAATAGCTCTTAATTTTCAACTACAGATTATTCTACATTAGGGGTTCTCTCCCAAGGGTGTGAATTTCCCCAAGCGTAGAATTTCATAGTTTCAGGAGGGGATAATGAGGTCAGAATGTTATTTACTTGTTAAGTACGTAATTTTATTTTACGAATATAATAACAAATTTTATTTAAAATATTTTATTTTATTTTAAAAATTTATTTTATGAATATAATTTGATATATATTAAAATTTTCTATACTTTTCCATGCTAATTTATAAAACATTAAAAAATGATATCCATTTTGTAAGGTTGCTACTATTTTACATAATCAGCTACTTTATTATTTAGATGTTTACTTTCCCTTCTACTTTCCGCTTCCTTACCAGAATGCAGATTTAGTTTGAGAGTTTTTAAGTCGAGGTTTTTGGGCAGTAAGACAGAGTGTGTTTCTGTCTTTCGAGGCCAAGTTACTAGGTTTCGCTATCTTTGATAAGATTACAATTCTACGGCTTTGCGTTAGCCCACCAGCGGCCGAGCGGTAAAGTCGCTGAACACTGGTAGTTCGGTCCGAGGGTCGAATCCCGCGAACGGGCTGGCTGCATGGGTCTTTTCGTGGTTTTCCCCATGTGTAACGTGTATACGAGCCAGTTTTCCTTAAAAAGTCCTCCACGAAGGCATACCTCCCTTAAGGCAGATAGCCCTCGAGTGCTTTGCCGTAATTTAATAAACCAAACCAAACGGCTTTGCGTTATTGCTGCCGACATTTAAATTATTACACCGGCTAGAAATTTTGAGCCAGCTTTGCGTTAAATCTAATTTACAGTCCTTAGCTTAATTTTAAATTTGAATTTATAGTAAGTTTAAATTTCATTCCCATAAGTAGTGGTTTGGTTGTTTTGTTTAAAAAACAAATCGTGCGTTTAAGCTCTGATTTAATAAAAAGGTTGTTTTAAACCTTTTCAAGTCTCTTTTTTCAGACAATGTGGTAATTCGTTTCAAGTCTGTTAGGAGTTTGATGCTAGTTTATGCTACCAAAGTAAATAAACTCTGCAATTTAAATAAATGCATATGTATTTTTAAAGTTTGGAATGAAGGGTGATCGCATAACTGTGGTGAATAGGTCTGTATAGAGCAAAAAAGTTGAAAAGCCCTGTTCGAGATACAACTAGATTATTAAAATGTTTGATTAGTATTGCATCTTAAAAAGAAGTAGTACTGCGCGCCGACTGAGATAACCACTAAACCTAACTTTGTTGTAAAAGTTTTACAGTGTTAATAATCATTCTGGCAGAAAGGAATATTTCCTCCGGGTAAAAATATAAATATAAACATTACAGGGGCAAACAAGGCCTGTGTATAAGCATAGATATGTTGATTACAAACATTGTCTTGTACAAGTTACATATGATAGTTACATAAAATCATGACAGGTATGTGTACATATGTGTGTCCTTTCAATCTAGTTCCAACGCTCAAGGCGTTAGAATGCGGGATGTGCTCTAATCACTTTCACACTGCAAGTAGATGAATACAGTTTTCCCAAGAACAAAAAAAGTATTATTTTACCTTCAAATGAAATGTAT